CACTTCATTTCCAGCGATATTGTTGACTTGATTGCAAATGATTGCAAAGATACTATTTAGACTGAACTGAGCTGGATGATGACATCGCTGAATTCAATGATGAACTGCCTTTAACTGAAAAATTAGTGTTTACTATTGTCAGTTTTGCATTATTGACACTATTTTCCTAATTAATGCTGTTCAGTTGCTTTGACACAATCTGTATTGTTAAAAGCGCTATATAAATAAAGGTGACTTGACTTGACTTGACTTTCTTTTTAGACATCCAACTGTGTTTAAATGTAAACCTTGTTTGTTTTTGACAGTATTAGATGCAAAATCAATCAGACGCGAAAGACAACTTAGTCTAGTAATCAAGCGCTGTTTTAGTGTGCGGTGTGCGCGCGCTTCATGTGTTTATGTGCTCAGAAAAAACGCATGTCAGAACAGCACGTGAATTAAATGTTTAAGCAGATGCTAATAATGTACTTTTGTGATTGCGCAGTGTCCCGTGAGTGTAACTCTACTGCTGAGTTAACATTTGATGTGAATGTATGTCGCGTTGTACAGCACATTGAGGTGGATGCGCCAGAACTGCAGCTGATAGAATGTGCGCTGTAGCACAATACTACGATATTTCTTCAAAAGCAGATCGTGGAGTTTTTTCGTAGCACGTGCGACATATATGCCCTGGTTTAACTACAACATTGCAAGCTCATAGTTTCTTTTTTAATATGAAATGATACAGGCTACAGCGCGCGCCGCCGCATTTTTGCATGCAAGTGAAGAGCACGTTCTACAAACACAGGATAACGGCTGACAGGACAGGAAAATTTGGCCTGACAACATCTCATCTGACCGCAGTTCACTGAGTACGGTGGCCAAACCTAGCTCCACCCCTGCGTTAATTGTGTTAAATATTTTTAACGCGAAAAAAATTTATTGCATACGTTAACGTGTTAATTTTGACAGCACTAAAAATAAGTTTTACGTTTATTTCAAGTAACAAATGGTTATGGTTTCAGCTGCAGACAGAGGTTTTTATATGAAATAATGAAAACTGTAGTAAATCAGAAAAAATCACATTGTGTCATGCCCTTGATATTCACATTCATGCACTTGATATATGTCATAATTTGATTTTCAGAGAATAAGCAGAATAAGCAGTGTGTGATGTGTGTTAGATACGCAGTAGCATGTATGATATGTTGTAATGAATCAGCTTGGGTTTGCATGATCTAAACACCACCACGACCCAATCACAATCACCATACCAATGCAAAATATTACACACAATGCAATGTGACCTGAACACCAAACTGGAACAGAAATGCACAAGAGAAGAATTATGGCGAGAGACATCTTTCCTAAATAATATCTGAATATAATTCTGAGCACTGCATGGATGTGAAGCAGACAGGGATGCTCTCAGATCAGAAAGATGCAGAAGTGAGGAGCGTTCAGCAGTGATTCTTGGAAATGTGTGGATGAGTTGTGTTGGAGGATTAGAGAGCTGAGCTTATCCTAGATGAGCCGCGGTCAGACGCTGTACAACATCACCACACCGCACGTGTGTGTGCTTAACGCCGATAGCATTACGGGATTGAAGAATACATCTATGAAGCAATCATGTCACAATAATACTGTAACCAGCTGTTACACCAGGAAAATGTAGTAGAAAATAAAATGTATTAAGGCTGGCATATAAAATAAAACTCCGAAGAGAATATGGATCTCACATTCAAGGAGGGAAAAACAGTTTTATTCAGAGGTCCAAACTGAGCAAAAATATACAATTTGTTGCAGATGCTGATGTTTATATGATGAAATTCTGATGCTTGTTATTTAAATGTTATAACAGTACAGCAGATACTGACATAAAAAGATATAAATATCAGTCGTCACTCTATATCTCCAGTAATCTGTTTTAGTAAGATGAGAGTGAAATGATCCAAACATATAATGCAATGCAGTCCAATGATGATTGAGAGATGAAGAAACAAACGTTCCTCAAAAGATTCTGATGATCAGATTTGAGACGCACTGATTTTTCTAGAAAATGATTGATGGAGAATCAAGTAAAGCCGAGCTGTTGCCAAAAAGCATCTTTCTCTCACTGATGGTCATTCACATTCCATTTATATTCATGCATTTGGCAGACGCTTTCATCAAAAGTGACTTACACTGCATTCAAGATCAGTTCATGCATTCCCTGGGAATCGAACCCATACGCCTGGTTTGATCTGTATATATAGCTGTGTATTCTGACGGAAGACAGTGCAGCTTCCTACAGAATCAAACACAGATCTGTAGGCGACAGGAGCGTGAATGTGAAGTAAATGTGTTGTTTTCTAGAAACATCTGCACAGGAAATACTTCAGCAATCCTCTGTGGGAAGCAAATAATGCACTCATCTAATTGATTAGTGTCATTAGTGCTGCTGTGTGCCGGTTCAGATGAGCATCTCACAGCAGCAACACTACTACTCTGCTAAGGATTCTTGCATCAAAGAAAGTCATACTTGTACATGACCATCACCACCACCACCATCAAATTACTCAATGACTTCTATATGCAAACGGGCTCTTGTGATTGGCTAACCTCTTTGCGTTTTTTTACCGTAAATTTTACAGATTTTTTTTTTACAGTGTATGAGTAACCACACTAAGTTACTGAATAGATGTTAGTGGCCATATGCTAATGAGCTGATGTATGACTGAAGAGTTCAGTATGTCACAAAGCACATCAAACTCTTACTGTAAAAGAGCGAGAAAGGCCCTGCTGTTCCCTCACAGTGTCTGACAGAAACCCACACGACTGCTGGAGTGAGTGTGTCAGTCGACGACTCAGACGAGCATTAGAAACACATCTGAGAGGATCAAACGGACTGCTTGCACTGAGCCTCGTGACGCACTTCCGTTCTGAAATAATACAGCTCAGTTATTTCCGGTTTTCAATGTGCTGTAATCATCTAGTTGACTTAAATGAGAGTCCGTGGGACGATTTCAAAATCCGGACATTTTCCGAGACAGGAGAAGAGAACAGATATTCTGATGATTACTGTGTGCAGAATTTTCCAAACTCAGCGTAACGAAGTTTTAATCCAGCATAAGCCGATCTGATAAAGCAGTGGCTGGTAAACATCCGTGACGGTTTCAGCACAGAGTGTGTCAGTGCTCTAAACTAGTGATCGCGACGCTGCAGTGTGTGTGAGATCTGATCAATACGATCAGAATCAACCTTTATTTATCTGTATTTAATGTTTCAATTTTTCATTCACAATCATTTCACTGTATGCAATGCCAAAATATGAATATTCAAAGTAGTCGCACTGTCAACGTGTTACTGTTACGGTTTCACATCGTTAAATTTCATTTAAATCCATTATTAAAAATGTTATTCCACATCCAGAGCTGGATAAATTACTTACAAATTGTAGTCCGTTACTGATTTATGATGAAAAGTTAGTAACATAATCTAGGTTACAAATTTTAGGTAATGTATTCTCAGTACTTTTTTTGATTACTTTTTATCTACGTGTTTAATACGTACCATTAAATGTACCATATTGATATAAAAACAAACATTTTTTGATATCAACACTATCAAATGCATTAAACATGACATTAAACCAGGGTTTCCCAAACTGGGCATAATGTAAGAACTGCAGTGGGTTTGTGAGTTGATAAAAAGCTAATAATTAAATAAATCATAAAAACGTAAAATCATTGTAACAACTGAACACTAAAAATATAAATATTTCATTTGTTTACCTGCATGTCAGTGTGACCATTAAGTGACATCAAACTGTAAACATGCAAATGAGCGGTAAAATTATTGAAATATTACAATCACACACGGTAGGATTTTCAGAAAGGAAAATTTAAAAGAGAAATATTAGGGCGAATCAATAAATAATGAACAATTTACTGCCATTGTGTAAATAATATGTAATCATGTAATCCATACAAAAGCAACTGCAATCTGATTATAAGCATTTTAAAATGTAATGTAATATACTCTAATTACAAGCACTTGATTTTAGTATTCTGATTACATAATCCAGATTACATGTAATCAGTTACTGCCCAGTGCTGTCCTCCAAACAATGTGTGATTTGAGATTTGAGAATTTCAGACCTATTTAATGTCTAACAAGAAATATTTAAGTGAAGTCTGTGAAGAGATGCACTAGCTGCATGAAGAAAATGGAAATAATCACATGAGTTTCTAACATTTACACATACAGCTGTGAAATGTGATTTAGGATGCTATTCACTGCTGTAACACGTGACTGCGGATGTTTTATCGTGCACAGCGTGACAATTATTTTCATTATCGATTATAATCGATTTGATCGATTAGTTGTTGCAGCCCTACATTATTTAAATCATATTTTAAGAGTGCTAGCCAATGTTTCTGTCAATCAGATGAATCCAATCCGGTTTCAGATTCTGAATATGAATCCTAAACACTGCAATCTGATTCTCATATTCATTTACATGTGAAGTGAAGAAAGCCAAATCATGTCACCACCAGAGCTCCCACAAATATAACGGTTATTTTGCCTTGATGACAAATCCAAAAGGAAAGCTGACATTTATGTCAGAAAAGCTTTTTTAGCAAAAAAGCTGACCAGCTCATAAGACATGAGACATAAATAAACATGCACACATTCATATGACGCACAACGCATGTAAACATACCCATTACAGCACTGCATGCATGCAAGAGATTCTGAACCCGATTGAGAAGCACGTGGCATTCAAGCATTTACATGCTTCATTTGTTCCTATTGATCAGATTATTTCTGGTCTACAATCCATTCAGATGAGCTCAGTCAGATCAACAGATGTGTTTACATGAAGGCTTCTCAGCCAGACTCAATCATTGATCCATTATAGATGGAGAGGCATTTAAAACTAGCCGTTGATGTACAGGCAAAAGCAAATCCAATATAGAGAACAACAATCGTTTGTGTCTCCTAAAGATTTTGACCTCAGTGGAAATGAATTAACCCTCCTAAACAAAAGCATAAGCACACGATGTGTCTTTGAGAGACGGACACTGACTGACCTCAATGACCGGCTGATGAGTGCACAAGAGAAACGGCTCAGTAATCACAGTTTGCTGCTCAAGAAAAACTGATTTCTGCTCTTTCTGGAAACCACAGTGATGTCAGTGGAGCTGAAAAAGCAGGTGATCACAGATTTACTGCAGTGACTATTTGACACAAACTATGTTCATCAAAATGTGGTGAGAGACAATGACTGATTGCACAGAAACTAAGACCAATTCAAAGAGCATCAGCCGAGGGTTTCAGACGAGTACGAGAGAATCAACACTGACCTCTAGTGTCACATCATGTGTAACATCAGTGTGTGTGCTTCATCAGCACTCAGTTCACTCTTTCTAAACCACACACTCCTGCACTGTACAGTCAGTCGATCTATGAAATCAATGTGTGTTTCTCTGAACTGGGCAACACTACATCTGATTAATGAATTGTGATTAATACATTTATTGACCATTAGTAGATTGCAATGCTTTAAAGGGGTCATATGATGCGATTTCATTTTTTCCTTTCTCTTTAGAGTGTTACAAGCTCTTGGTGCATAAAGAAGATCTGTAAAGTTGCAAAGACTAAAGTCTCAAATCCAAAGAGATATTCTTTATAAAAGTTAAGAGTTAGCCACACCTACCTAAAACGGCTCGTTCGAACACGCCCCCACATACAGTGGGGCAAAAAAGTATTTAGTCAGCCACCAATTGTGCAAGTTCTCCCACTTAAAAAGAGTTTTGTAAAAATCGACGCGTTTCAAAAAGGCGGGGCATAGAGGAGAAACAATAATGTACAGTATGTGGAAAATAATGTGTTTTTTTAACTTTAAACCGCATAAACACATTTCATTACACCAAATACACAAAATAATGTTCTTTTTAGCAGCATCATATGACCCCTTTAATCCAAAGGACTCACATTTAAGCTGATACAGATGATGAGCGAACAATGACAGAAACAGAGCAGATATATCAAGATAAAGGTAACACTTTACAATAAGGTCTCTTTGTTAACACATGCTTTCTGTAATGCATTTGAGCAAATGCAGTTAGTTACTGTACTTAAGTAACTTTTCGGTTACTTTGCAGTTTGACTGGTTATCAAAGATATCAGCAACTTTTACGCAGTACTTGATAGCATTTTTGAGTAAGTGCATGTACTCTTTACTCCAATACATTTGTGATGATTAATGCAGCTTTTTAGCATGGCACCGAACTTTTTCTGCGGCAGTTTATTTCTGCTACAAAGGAAGTGATATCGCCATCTACAGGTTATTGAAGATACGATAACTTGTGCGTTTTGCCCTTACTCACCCAAACACGGCTGCTTTACATGAATGTGAGTGCATTAGCAGCTAGTTATGAATCGCAGGCGTTTCATTTATGAGATGAGGACATGGCTGAGACCTTCTTGAAGGATACTGCGTTACTTATGCTCTTTTTGAGCTAAACTCAGACTTCGGTGTTTGTAGACGTTTAAGAGGCTGTTATGTCGACCTTCATTTATTGCAATTTTGAGCTGTTCGGTTTCATTTTGATTTTAGAAAATAAACATGTGATTGCTCTCCTCACAAATCAGCTGTTTCTTGTTTTTCACTGGCTTTTCTCTTAGGTGTTGAGGACTAGTGCATCTTTGAGCCTTCATTTAGTGTGAGTGAAATACTTAAGTACTGTTAAAATCAGATACTCTTTTTCAGTGTAAGGTATCTGTACTTTTACTCAAGTATGGTTTTCAGGTACTTTTTACACCTCTGTATGAAAGTAAACTTGAGACTCGTTTAAGGAATAAATTAAAGGGAACAAAATAAACCAATAGGTTCCCATGTTTAGCAATCCCATGTTTATTTTCTAAAATCAAAATAAAACCGAACTCCTCAAAAGTGCAATAAATGAAGGTCGACACAACAGTCTCTTAAACACAAGTCTAAATGTAAATGTCTAGAAAGAACACAATGAGTTCCAAAAGAACTTTCAAACGATCCACATTACTTTTTAATTAAAAAATATGGAAATAACTTTTACTGTACCTTCTGATCACAACACTACCATTCTTCATCAGTATTTCTGTCTTGGTTTTCAGTGCAAATGTCTAAAGATTCTTAAATCAATCTTTGAAACACAAAACAACATGAGAAGTCTTGCTTTCTGTTAAAAACAAAGCACGTTTATGAATAAAACAAGAACAAATATCTGCCAATGGGCTCAGAAAAATCAGCTTAATTCAAAGGGAAAACAAGTGTTCATTCCCCCATGACAGATATTTGTTTTTGTTTTGACATTAACTAAAATAATTTTGTTCAATTTCTCAGAAAACAAGACTTTATCTTCAATTTGCATCTCCAGTAAACGCATCTTGATTTAAGGATGTTCATATATTTGCACTGAAAAAAAAAGACAAAAATACAGAGAAAGATACTCATCTTTGCAATGCATGCAGTATTCAATGACTTTCTGAATTTAAGACTCTGATCTCAGACCTCTTTAAATCCTTAATCTGTGGAAGGGTGAACTAAGACCTCTTAAGAACTTTAAGACCCAGCAGAAACCCTTTAGCATTATGTATTAACTTACAAATTAATAACTAACATGAACTAACAATGAGAGTGTTTTTTTTTTTTTTACAACATTTAATAATCTTGGTTCACAAAAACACAATTATTCAGTGTTTGTTCATGTTAGTTTACAGTGCATTAACTAATGTAAACAAAAACAGTGTTTAATTTTAAAAATGTATTAATAAATGTTGAGATTAACATTAAGGCTAGTAAATGCAGTATCGTTAGTTCATGTTAACTAATGTGGTTCACTAATGTTAACAAAAGGAACTCTACTGTAAAGTGTTAGAAACAGACATATCCTTTATGCATTTAATCCCATTTTATTAACCAATGTCTTTGCTGCTGACCTTCAATGATCCCAATTCAACCACACTAATAAGCAGAAATGACTTTAGATAAACATAACATCTGTGTTTCTTTTATTCTTGTTTTATTGCTGAAGAGTGTCCTATTCTTCATGCAAAATGAAAGGTTTGTTTGAGCTGCGCCCTCTACTGTACAGACGGCTCATTCATTTCACTTCTGGTGTGAAAGGGCTTTTACATTTGCCAAAAATAGAACTTTTTTATATTGAAAACAAACAAGCAAGCCCAACTTAGATTTCTAAAGTAACTCAAAAGTAATGTAACATTACTTTCCATAAAAAGTAACTAACATTATTCAGTTTTTTTTAGGGTGTATCGCAATATCATAATGCATTACTTTTAAAAATAACATTCCCCAACACAGCTCAGGAGTGTAAAATGTTCATGCAATCATTGAGTTCGGTCTGAATGCGGGATGTCCCAGCTGCCTGTCGACTCATGTATTTGCACACAGGGTGGATTTAGGTCGACACTGGCCCATAGGCTCAGGGATTTCCAATACAAACACGTCACTAATAATCATAAATAAATATCACTTATAATAGCTGTTCGAGTGAGACGATTCAGTCTCTGCTGGATTTTTTAATGGGGTGACACAGAGTCAGTCGGGGGCCAGGGAAAACATAAATTAATACTGTGTGGCAAGCACAACACACACTGAAGGAATGCTTTTCAAACGGCTTTTAATTATAAACTCGTACGCAGGGGACAAGGGATATATACAGTACTGTGCAAAAAATTAATAAATACTTAAATAAAAACAATAGATTTTAAGCCAGTTTTTTTGTGTGTGTGGCCTACTGGCCTTTTGCACAGTACTGTACATTAAATAAAGATCAAAATCGCCGAACAAAGAACTGAGAAAACTGAGGGCTTATATGTACAGGGATGATAATCAACAAAGCATGGAACAGGTGTGAGACAATTAGAAACCATGGAAACAAACTAGCAATGATAACTCAGGCAAACAGACACAAGGAAAAGAATGAAAACAAAAACAAAACGGAACAAAACAGAATATACACCTGACATGCATTTTAGCCCTGTAATGTAAATATAGAAAGAGTGCCGTTTATTTCCTAGCTGCTGTGAGCATTGCTTTCAAACATAATTACTTGTGTTAAATTATGCATTTGGGTATATATTTTGACATGATTTTTTTTTTTTGTTAATTTGAAGTGTCATTTTTTACAGTCAAATCTGCACACAGAGAAGGCATTTTGTTACTCATACTACATATAATCGCTTAATCAGGCACACGAAAGCAGTCAGAATACTGGGCGATATTTCAGTATAATTGAGTGATTACATACCATGAACGGAGATCTGGTTTGTGGTCTCTCCTCCTGTTTGAAAAGCTCTGTGGAGACATGCCTTCGCGTTTATAGAGCCGCTAGAGCTGTGTTAGTGATGTTTGAGCTGGGGGAGGTGTGCCGTGTGAAAGGGGCGTTTGCTTAGCATGATTTGTTGTAGTTCCACTAGCTGACACTAGTAGGGTAGAAACTGCTTACTCCAGGTTTAGGTGTGTCTCACATGTCCCAAAAGGTGAAGCTAACACATTTGTATCACGCCCTGCTGGCTGGCTGCAGTATAGCTCATAAACCCCACCCTCTCTCCGAGTAAATAAATGTTACGTGAGCCAAACTAAAAAAAATCGAATTACACTTCAAATATATTTTCTCAAAGATTGTTTTCATCATTTCAGGTAGTTCTTCTCACACTGCTGTATGTTCAAGTGCTCAATTTTCGATTAAGTTTACTTTTAGTAAGTTATTTGATGTTATAAAAACGGGGTGTGGCGTCATGATTGTGTGATACGCGACTCCACCAATCACTGCGCAGCTTCCAGATGATATCATCAGTGCAAGATGACAGGCGGCCATACCATTTTCTATAGTGGAAAGAAGTGGAGATGCGTCGTCCATCTTTTTTTACAGTCTATGCTATGCACCAATTTGCATACAGAAATCTGAACGTTGCATAAAGCCAGGTTCAAAATTCTTGACACATTAGAGTTAAAGGTTTGTACAGACGGGATTTGAGATATCTATTTTTTTTTCACCCCATAAATCCATAAAGTATTAGGAATAAAATATTATATATATTAGTGTGAATGATATATGAACAAACCATTCTGTGAAAAACCTTCAGAATAGAGACAGGAATAAAACTGTAAAGCTTGGTGTATGTAAATGCTGCTGAAGCGGAGAAAAAGATATGTATTGGAATTGAAATCTACAGAGGCAAAATGGATAAAATAAAGACTTGCATTTGTGTGTTTGGATGTTTTCTTTCCACTAGTCTGAAAAAAAAAAAGACGTTATGGGAGCAAAAAAGCCCAAAATCTCAAAATTGCGCAGTGCATGAAAAACAATGGCTTTGCCTGTAGTGTCTTGTCTTATAATTCATTCAGTACTGTGGTATATTTCACAGTACTGTGGCACTTCTGTCTGACAGCATTACTGTACCACATGTAACAGCCTGAAATGAAAGAGTTTGTAAATGACCTGCAAACCTGAGCCCAACTAACAAAGCAGAAACCTAGATGTGCTCTACAGCAGTGCTTCTGAACTGACTTTACACAAACACTAGAACTGACGAGTGGAGGACAGCAGACGTGATCCAAACACACACACACACACACACACACACACACACACACACACGTGAATACTGTATATCAGAAGTGTATCTCTCCTCTTTTAAAGGCTGAACTGTCCAAACCTCGTCAGTCCAGAAGCACTGGTTCGCTCAAGAAACATTTCTGATTAATATCAATGTTGAAAACAGTCGTGCTGCACAATATTTTTGTGGAAACCGTGATACATTTAATTTTTTTCAGGAATTCAGGAATAGAAAGTTCAAAAGAACAGCATTTATTTGAAATAGAAATCTTTTGTAACATTATACATGTCTTTACTGTCACGTTTTATCCATTTTTATCAATGCATCCTTGATGAATAAAAGTATTAATTTCTTTCATGAACAATTAAATCGTACTGACCCCAAACTTTTAAGCGATAGTATATTTAATCAAATATCAGCTTTAATACTTCAGGTCTCATTCAGAGGAAACAGTAAAGAATCTGAACGCTGTTTAAGCAAAAAGGGAAAGAGTAAGATGTCAAACTTAAACCTAATTTCCATAATGCAACTGACAGAGACGCTGCAGTATTTGCTTATGATTAGATAAATCAAACACATCCTCCTCCTCCTTCATTACACACACACACACACACACACACACACACAAGTCCTTCTCACCTGCTTGCGTAGTTTAGGTGCTCGTGAGAGTTTGAGAAACGTCAGATGAGGTTTGAATGCTTTGTCATCTCCAGACGCGATGCCCCGCTCCTCAAACGCCTTCCTCACGCTCTCTGGGTGGAGAGAAACAACACTCAGCCTCAGATAGACAGATGCATCCTGGGATAGTCTATTTACAGCCTCCAGAGAGAGAGAGGGAGGGGGGGAGAGAGAGAGAGAGAGGGAGAGTGTTAGCGGTGATGACACTAGCAGCCCGATCTCTCAGGATCTCTCTGCATCTGAACCTTCAACACGTTTCACTGGGATTTTCAGTAAGGATCCAAAACACTGTGCTCATGTAATTATCAGCCAGTATTGGAGTTTTTTACTGTCATATCAATCTGATCACACCAATACTGGAAGCACTGGAAATCTAAATTCAGTTTGATTCATTTGATTTATTTTGAATGTCCAGCAATTCGTCTCTGGTGAAACTGATTGCAGGGATATAACTAAAGACAGGACAAACTAACAAAAACATAAAAACAAATCCGGAGCTCGCCACGGAGGCAGCCATCAGCGTCGGCGCCATCGCACAATGATGATTGTGTTATGAAAGCTGCAGACAGCTGTAACAATCACAGCCAGTGCTGGGTTAATGCATTACAAGTAACACGAGTTACGTAATCAGATTACTGCTTTCAAGTAACTAGTAAAGTAGTGCATTACTTTTCAATTTACAATGAAATATCGGAGTTACTTTTTCATGTAAGTAATGCAAGTTACAGAGGTTCTTTCTTCAGCCTGAGGCTTATTCACTTTACTTTCGGTGTGAAAGGGCCTTTACCGTCGCCAAAAATATAACCTTTGGGTTTTTTGGGTTTTTTAAAAAACAAATAAGAAAGCCCAGCCCAGGTGACAAAAAGTAACTCAAAAGTAATGTAATGCATTATTTTCTATTAAAAGTAACTAGGTAATGCAATTAGTTACTTATTTTATGGAGTAACACAATATTGTAGTAACTTTCCCTGATCACAGCAGAAGCAGATTACAGGGTTGGTTTGCACCAGCCATTCAGAAGTTAACTTACACTGGAACGTAAAGTCCACACTAGAGGCTTAGTAACTACTAGTTAGTTTGCACTTAACATAGCTGCACAGAAAGGAAAAAATGAAATCGCATCATATGACCCCTTTAAGGCAGAGAGTCTCTCGCAGCTCCTAAGCTCTCTGTAAAATAATGCTCAGCACTTTATATTATATGTTATATATATTATATATATAATGTATATTATACGTTCACATTATATGCTGTGAATTGTTTTTCCTGCAAAGTTTGATACTAACTTCTTTTGTCTCACGTAAGTAAATTTAACTAACAGTAAACTAACATAACTAACAGTAAACAGTAAGTTTCCACTGAAATACGATACTGACATGAAATTAAAAAGGAGCTATAAATACTGATACAAAAAACATGACTGATTTTATTGACATGCACAGCATGGAGCGGCGCACACTGTAATGATAAATGAGTGTAAACGTCAACATCATCATATATGTCTGAAGGACTGAAGTATGTCAGGTACAACAAGAGCTTATTGATGCAATTCAATCAATCTGCTATTTTATTCTACAACCCCGATTCCAGAAGAGTTGGGACGTTTTGTGAAATAACATAAAATCAAGAATAGGGCCCCTATTATGCAAATTTCACTTTTACATGGTGATTTGGACAAAAATGTGTGTCGGCAGTGTGTGAACACAACCACCCTATAATGATAAAAATCCTTTTTTTTAATACCCATAAATCACAATCAGCGTCTCAGAACAAGCCGTTCACAGATTCTGTACAAAGTGATGTCACATTGTACAGGCCCCGCCCACGACTGTTGACGGACACCGCCGTATTAGCAGAGACTTAATTTGGGGGACTGTCAGTTTGACTGACCAATGGCAGACTGGCACATCTGAAGCATGAACACAGATGAGCGGATGAGCAATGTTGTACCTGCCATGAGCGTGAGTGTGGTCAGATGATCTCCTTCCGTAATCTGAACGAAAGCCACTTCCTGTTTAAAGTGTCCGATTCCACAGAAGGGCAGGACCAGCCTCCGGCCCCCCAGCAGCGCGTTCAGAGGAGACTCCAGCTCTGACAATGTAGACGCAGCGCTGCGCACACAAACACAGCAAACATTCACAAGTCCTGCACGCTTCTGCTGTCAATCCTCCTGTTCCATTTCATTACAGACAATGAGAGCGAAGGCATGCCATAATAACTGCTGTGGTGTGAGATGAGGGCGCACGCAGCTCTGACAGATCTCACATCTGTTTTTGTTTTTGGCCTCTGAGATTTGGATGATTTGTTGCTTTACAGAGAAGCTGATGCTTTAAGGTTGTTTTAACTTGGGTTCAAGTGTGCTCTGTTCAAGATCTGCATTTAGTGTAATTCAGGAACAAAGACTGACCACACAAAACTATTATTATAAACTATTTCTTTTACTGAAATGAATCAACATTGAAGTGACTCGAGCTGAAATTAACTTTCCCAGTAAGAGCCTATATTTGCCTCTTGGAATTGATTTCAGGGACATTTTTTACCTTTTAAGGGCAATTTTTATAATTACACTATCATTAAATGTTTCTGTGTTGTTTTTTTTAAGTCAAATGCTTTAATCAATCTCAATGCTTAGCCATTGTTTCTGCAAAGACAGAGCAGTAGACATGCATCTACACAAAAACTGCATAATCACTTAAAAACAGGAACTAATTAAGAGTCTGAAGCTGCAATATCATAAAATTACTACTGGTGATTATTGCTCTTGATATTGTAATAATAATTTTTAATGTTGATTAATAAGACGTTTTGTGGGGATTCTGGCTACAGACAAAACAAGCTAAGAACCATTTCTACATTTGTTTATTGCTTTTTACGGATTAGAAAATCAAGGCTTCACGTTGTTTATTCCAGTAGCATGAAAATCAGAGCAGTTATTTATACTGGGGATAAATGAATGTGTGGGATCAATAATACTGTGCAACACTACAAGCCACGTGCAACAAGAAATCTGATGCAATCAATGTGAGAAGATCTACTGTAATCGACATGTTCGTTCATTTCACATTAATCGAGACCGCTGTAATAGATCTAGCTTAATTCGGCAGGGGCATATTTGGCCACCTTATCTTGAATTTTTGCCCCAAACCTCTGTTAACTTCCAACCCTGCTGCACACACAACATGTATGAAACTCCACCGTAGGGTGGTTCACACTGAAGCAAAATACATGCGTCAAGATCTCTGTGCTGCGTTCACTGTGTGTGTGTGTGATCTTACAGATTCAGCTGCTCCTGTGTGCTCAGGTGAGTCACCAGTAGAGTGATGTGTAGAGTGTCCACAGGTATCAGCGCTCGGGACAGACGACTATCCTTCTCCAGCAGCAGCTTCTGCACATCCTGCACCGCCTGCTTGATCTGAGACACACAGACACAGACACAGACACACACACAGACACACAGACACACACAGACACACACAGACACACACACGCACACAGACACACACACGCACACAGACACACGATTGCATACTGAAACATTCAAGTTTTGAAAAGGAGGAGAAAACTTCCCATTTCTTTTGTTCTTGATGAAGACAAGTGGCACTTTTTGATTTGATTATTTCTGCTGTCCCTGATGCACACTGAGACACTAGGGGAATGTATTTATTTGAGAGGGACCGAGCACATTAACTAACAGAAACAAAACTGCAAATGAGCCAGAGTTAGCCTTAAAAGCCATTTTCATCTGTAATCCTTGGCCAACATAAATGTAAAAAAAACCTCAAACATATCATAGAATAATCACTATTACATTAAAAACATAAGATATCAAACGAATCATGTTCTAGTGCTCACATAGTTGACTATTGACAAGCCACAGCTTCAGTTTAACAGTGAAAGAACGGGAAGAGTTTGTTTCTCTAATGTACGCTGGGATGAACAGAAAGGATGTCAAATCTGTTGTTTTAGCAATGTTAAAGGTGACATTATAAACTGAGTATGTCACTCACAAACCAAAAACACACACCATGTGAGTCCATGCATTCACTGTGTGATGTGGCCTATATTAGAATCACCCCCATATTCAATATATGGAGGCAAAAATGAGTGAGATTTTGTCTTATATTTCTGTATGACATAGTTAAGCAACATCTCACAAGCAAGCTTGCTATTTTTTTCTCAATATCAGCACAACTGCAAATGTGATTTTATACAACAGTTCAACATTATCATTAAAAAGTTAAAGCAAATTACATTTTAGACACGATATTGTCTGTTTTTGCTCTGTTTCACCAGTGAAAATAGTTCCACACAAAGCCACAGCAGAACTGTTGAGTGTCTCTGAGCAACACAGTGGTGATTCACTAGTGCATTTGAACGAATCCAACGAATCAATGATTCAATGATCCGTTCTTAAAGACAGCCACTGCATTCCATCCTGAAGGGCTCATCAACATTATTTCAATATTCAAAACACTATTTTAAAGCATTAATCACATAGCATTCTTTATCCAACTGTAATTGCAGTGTAAACACATCTAAATGCCACTTCAGATGCAGCTTCTGTGCCACTTCTGCTGTGCAAAGATGGATTTTGTTTATATTGATTTCATCTGATTGCTAACAGCCTATAGTGTCTTACTGTAGCTGACTTTATTGATTAAATGTAAGAACTTGACATAAAGATGATGCATACCTCTAATAAACCTAGAGAAAACTGTCCCTATAAAGATCAGAACGCCCCAAAAAAATCTATTCAGGGACGCAAAAACTGCTTCGTATTTCTGACACCAGCACACAAACAATTAGCTAAATATCGTCTAATTATCCGTATCGAGATATTATTTATCATCAGCATGGCACATGAGAGGCTCTGCTCCGGCTCGTACCTCTGGGTTTGTGATTGGCACCGAGACAAAGTAGTTTGGGCGAGCCGTCTCCTTCTTCTTCTTCTTCTCACCATCCTCCTCACTCTCCACTCGAGCGCCGTCTCCTCTCTTACGCTTCTTCTTCACGCTCGATTCTGCGCTGGAGACTGAAACACAAAGACAAGCATTCGGAGAGCGCACCAAAAATCAAACATTTCACCTCATTTACACAGCAAATACACAGAAAGTGAAACGGTGTTGTGCACTATCTCTAGGTGACTAATCCGACGGACCCTCGTCACGTTCAGCAAGTCGTCACAGCTGGTAAACCTCTACAGTGGTTTAAACAAATATCATTTTCTTGCATTTCAGTTTGCTCTAATAGCAAAAATCCATGATAGCATTTCTATGACTTTCCAAAAGAGGGGAAAACACATTTGTTAGAAGAGAAAAATGTCAGATTTGCTGTTACTTTTTCCAATTGTATTAGAAACACTAACTAGTTTTCTGTAATTTAATGTCAGTGTAATATAACACAAAGTGTGTTGTTATGAATGCACATTACTTCCACTGTCAGTGAATGAGTGAAGCTGATCATGTAACTCTCTGTACAGGCTGGCAGACTGAAGCTCGAGATCTCAAATCATGCTGGAGAACATGATCATCAGGCTCAGTTCACTCACAATTATGCTGCTATTCATTCGAACTCCGATGCTATCATTTGCATTAGAAACAGAAGCATGTTCACTAGTCAGACTGTACTTCTAAGAATGTGAGCGCCATTGAGAAGCAAACACTGACAAACGTGAAGAAGCATTGCTGAACTCTCCGGGAGAGAGACGCCGCACAACAAATGTTTTATTCATAGCATGTAGCCAGCTGGGAAATTTGAATGCAAGAGCAGCTGCGGTACAAGGACGATCCACGTCTCGCCTGGCAACCAAACATCGCCGCTCTCTCACTGTCTGCCTTGCACACAGCGCTTCACACAATGATTCCTCCACCTGGAAGACGAGACTAGCCTACAGGAGCCGGATCGCACCGCCGCTCTGAAAGGTAAGTCGGCTCTGCTGTTGTTCTAGGAGCAAGTGTGGACTCACAGCCCAGCTCCTTCCAGACCTCTGTGTTCACGAAAGGAAGCTCGGACATCAGGCTACAGACGCTTTCTGCCTCCTTCTGCTTCTTCTTCTTCTTGCCTGCCACTCTCTTTGGCTCTTTCTGTGCTTTTTTGACCTTCTTGACTGCTACAAAGAAAAGAAAGACAGCAAATAAGGACAGAAAAGCAACACGGCTGGTGCTTATAGACTCATAGATGTTTGCATTCTGCCTATAGATAACAATCTGCAGCAGGTTTTACTTTGGATATCAAACCCAAACCAAATACTGTAGTACTGAAATACCGCATAGGCCTGATGCGTTCCAAATACCTCTTGAGTTGAGATGGATTCATTTTGCATTCACAGCACAAAACACGCTTTTCCAGAATGCAGCTGCTCGCATATTTAGTCTGGCTGGCATTTTCTTAAAGTTGTATGTTTTTTTTGAAGAAACGCAACATGTTCATGTTGGCAGGATGACTGTGTGCTAAAATACTGTAGCGTTTGATTGGACATCAAACACAAACAATATGGGAAGCACTTTAAAAAGTTGACAAGTCTATTGTTTTTGCTACCATAACTACCCATGATAATATGTCACCCTGGAGCACAAAAGCAGTGTTAAGTCGCTGGGGTATATTTGCAGCAATAGCCAACAATACATTGTACGGGTCAAAATTATAGATTTTTCTTTTATGCCAAAAATCATTAGGATATTAAGTAAAGATAATGTTCCATGAAGATATTTAGTAAATTTCCTATCGTAAATATATCAAAACTTAATTTTTGATTAGTAATATGCATGGCTAAGAACTTCATTTGGACAACTTTAAAGATGATTTTCTCAATATTTAGATTTTTTTGCACCCTCAGATTCCGGATTTTTCAAATAGTTGTATCTCTGCCAAATATTGTC